CAGAAGCAGAAAATATAATATCATTTTAGAAATAAAAGCGCATACGCAGGCATGCGAGTTCAAACCATAAATTTTAAAATTTATTTGAAATAGGAGTCACAGTTTGAGACCGACCGGTTGAGCCTCCTCATTATTGTCCAAAAAGATCGACCTTTCCTCGGGAACGAAACAGCCACATATTTGGTTCTGTGGTGTTTCCTGATAAGTGAGTGGCTTGGCGAAGTGAGGATCTGAATCTTGGGGGCGTATATCGCACGAAATTATTGCTTTATATATACATATGTTAATACGATTGCTTCAACTTTACCGGTACCATGGTACACGTGTACCTGGTACCCTTCTTGCAGGACAAAACTGTGGTGGCAATTGCGAAAGATGATAAGTGAGTTGCTCAGAGAAGAGAAGAATGTGATTATTCTTGAGGGCGTATCTTGCACAATTGAAATTTTGACAATCATCAATGCTTCACGATTTACGTAACAGGTACGGTCATGCGCAACATCTCACAATCACTCAATCTCAAATAAGCCCATAAAATATGCAACGAGAGCATGAAGGCATTATGGACGATTCATGTCGAAACAAAAAACAACGCAGAAAATCAAGCGATGAGTACAGTCACGATGATGAAGCTCGTATACCTATACCAGTGAGCTTGCAGCCTACCCCAATCAATGTAGGAAAGATTGTCCCGGTGGAGAGAGTTTCCATACAGGCCACAACATGGAACCTCGATAGCAACTCAATCGAATACCTCAAAGCTCTCTCTGCTTCCAAAGCAAAATCACCAAACTCGCATCCAGAATCGAGTTCGCCCCAGGCCCCCGCCTCGGTCGCCTCCATCAAGAAGGCTGCAGCTGCAGCTCCAGCTGCTGCTGGCTATCCGCGGGACGCCACTCTTCTCCGCCAAAAGCAAGTCGATCAATGGAATATACGCTATGCGGAACTTTTGGAATTCCGAAAGGAACACGGTCACTGCCTCGTACCTCTTCGCTATCAACTGAACAGGGCTCTTAGTAATTGGGTCAAACGGCAAAGGTATCAATATCGAATAAAATCGGAAGGGAAACATTCTACCTTGAACGATCAGCGGCAGGCTGCTTTGGAGAAACTTGGCTTTGTGTGGGACTCCCATTCTTTGACATGGGAAGAGCGGTTCCAAGAGCTTTCAGAATTCCGGCGAGTCCATGGACATGCGAACGTCCCAAAATCGTACAAAACGAATCAACAGCTAGCCGTTTGGGTCAAAAGCCGTAAGTAACTACTGCTACTGTGGTATCAGGGCTGCGTATTCGCAATTGGAAACCATTGAAAGAACCATATACTAGCCACTCAAAACAAATTTCCATGTGCACAGAACGGAGGCACTTTCGATTACATTGCAACGGTAAGCCATCGTCGATGACAAAGGAAAGGATGGAGCGACTCAATAGCTTGGGGTTTGTCTTCAATCCGCGATTACTATAGCTCTGGAACACCAGCAGCAGGATTCAACGTAAAACTGTGAAATACAACGAATGTACAAGAATTTTGCTAGCTCATACAGTATTATATTATATATCAGGCAGTTTATAATATGTCCTAAGACTTAAAATCCCCTCCTACGACCTCAGCATTGGGTCTCCGACCTGAATTGGGATCGTCACTACTGGAGACAGAGCCCCTTTTTTGGGAGCTGTGATCTTCAACACGCCATCCAATGCACAAAAGTTGGGTGCCAAGTTCTCTTCGCCTTTTCCTTAATTATATTGTTCGTTGTCGTGGTTTGGGCTGTTGAAGGATGAGCCATTGATGATGTTGAAGAGGAAGCTTTGGTCAAAGGCTGTATCAAAGACAGCTGATAATGGCTCAAGTTGTAGAATGGGCATGTTGTTATATTGAGAGTTTCGTCTTCTTTGCAGGTGAAATCCTGCTTTGGTTGTTTCGTTTGATGTTTTTGCAGCATGGTCCTCAAATAAGTTCAAATTCTAAGATACTAAATATTCGACGCGCGAAAGACGCCAAAACCACCAACTCTCTGGCGCGATCGGTAGACTTTTATTGTACTTTTACATCATCCTTATAATATATATTCATCATCGTCATTATTATCATCGTCATCGTCACCATATAGCAACCCCTCCTCAATCAACTCAAGAAGAAAGGATTTCATGGTATCTGATACTTCAACTCCTTGCTCGTCCAATCGTTGCCGACTAAGCGGCAATCCATTGGCAATCATATCTAGGAGAAGTGATGCAGCGTCAGAATTATCATTCAGCGGGAATGATCTTCCTTGCGCAAACATAATAGGACCCATCTTTTCGTTTTCCTCCAAGACGGACCATGCAAATGCAATGCCTTCTGCACGACGCAAGACTCCAGTTCCACCCAAGACACCCCCGAGAGCTTGTTTTGAATCCGCCCATATTCCCAATTCAGTTTTCCACTCTTCGTCCATTTCAGACAAGGGTATTGGATAGTCCATGGTAGGCCTATTTGGTTCCGTGACGACCTCGCCCACTAGTTTGTCCCAAAAAGCATCATCGTCCAATTGCTCCTCAATCAAGTCCAGCACCAACCTTTTCATCTTGTCCTTGACCTTTTTAGAGAGACCCTTTTGGTTGCCGCCATGTTGTTGTTTGGACCAATTTGCTATATCCTCCATGTCAGTATAGCGTGCGGTTGCCAAGATAGAAGACGAGTCCGACATGGATTCGGTGATACGCTGAAGAAGTTCGGATGCAGAGGGTGCCCGACATCCGACACTTAGCGTCATGCAATCATCAGACGTTGCCGATCCCCAATGGACGACTCGTGGAGGTAAGTACAAGCAGTCCCCTGGGTCGAGTTGGATTGTCACAAATTCACCAGCTGGTTGTCCTTCTAGATCCAAAACTCGGACTTCGGAGGCTTCCACCAAGTTGCCAAACTCATCTTTTACCGAAAGAGTTTCCAGTCCCACCTTCCAGGTGCGAGTGCCGCTGGCTTGTATCAGAAAGACGTCATAATTGTCCACATGAGGTCCAATGCCTCCACCCTTTCTGGCCAGACTGACTTGGGCATCATCCCGACGCCATCGGGGCAAGAATCCGAAATGAATATCCATCCAGTCGGACAAGGATGGGATCCAACGATCCACATCATTGACAACCAAGGTTGAAACTTGGTTAAACACATCTTTTTCATTCTTGTCAGGATCATCACGAAGTTCCTCAGTATCAGAGTCGACAATCAAGAAGTTACTCAATTCCAATTCAGAAAAGGGGCCAAAGTCGAGTTTGAAGGTATCCAAGGTTCCCGGCTGGTGTGTGATCAGTCGAGACGTAACAGACGATGACTCATCTTGCATTGCCAGCTGCAACATGTCCTTCCACGAAAACACTTGCGTCCCACCAAAGGAATGCTGGAGGAGCAATGGTGTCTGACCCCAACATTGCGTCTCGGCAAATGCCTTGGCGTCGAACGGACCTACAATGGAAGGAATCTCTGTCCAAGATGATGATGCATGCAGAGTGGTTGGTGTCGTCCGTAATGATGATGGGATGACTCCTCTACAGCGGTTCCATCTGCGGTTCCATCTGCTGCCTGAGTAAGATTTGGTGGCAATTGATGTCGGATGTCGTTGGTAAGTCGAACGAAGAACAAGAAGCTGAGGGGTTTGTTCCCATGCATTCACAGGTACAACAACAACAACAACGAGGAACGCTGATAAGAACAAGAGGTAATAGAACAAGAAGTAGATCAGATGGATGCCATGCTTCTTTGACATGTTCCTTCTTTGATAAGAACATGCGAAGATGAGTATGTATTTTATTCTCGTTCTTGTTTGCTGGCGTTCGGTGGAGAACCATTGACGGGCCACTCTGTAGCAATCGTGTTTGATGTCGCATGATAGACGCCGTCTGTACTTCGTTCCTCAGTCACATCTGTTATGCTCCATAACACTCTGAAATCAAACGCAGGGTTTTTTCTCGCGGACTGCTCAACATTTTGTTGATGGTCCAAGTGGTCGACAAGACAGGCTTTTTGGAAAAGCTCCGTACCTGGTACCGCATGCCTCAAGCACACCCATACTACGGTCTCCCGTTCTGCCCAGGATGGTCTGCGTTCCACAAATCACAATCACAAACACTACGACGATGGCTTCTTCACGGGGAGAAAAGGAAAAGACTTTACTAGCTGAATTTAAAATGAATGAAACTGTATATTTGTATTGTTGCCATTCATTGGTGTCTTCTTTAGTTTGATTGATGAAATTCCGTCGTCACGCCAGTCAAGTCGCAATTTCTCCGCACCTACTTCTCCAATTGAATGTCTGAAAACTGTAATTATTAGCTGAATAAATATTGAAGGAAATCGTGTATTGCCGTAATGTCCGATCCATTTCTGACTTCTTTGGGTTGATTGGTGTTTAAATTCGTTTGAATTTCTGTCGTCAATCAGTGAGCCACCATTTCTCGCTACCCAGACTCGCAATTGAATATATGAAAATTCCCAATATCAGCTATATACTCATAGAATATGCTTGTTGTAGGATGGATGTTATTGATATTGTTGTCATTGCTGCACGAAAGTAAAATAAATTGTGTCGAGCGGGAGACAGTGCGGGCGAGAAATTTGTGGTGTCTCAAAACACTCTGAAATCAAACGCAGGGTTTTTTCTCGCAGACTGCTCAACATTTTGTAGAAAGTCCAACTGGTCGACAAGACGAGATTTTTGGAAGCTCCCGCACTTCACTGTTCCTACCGCTCAATAAAAAACTAAAGAAGTCTCAAAACACGATTGCTACAGAGTGATTGACGGGCGGGAGAGCGATGGTTGCTCACGTGTGGTCCTCTTCGACTATCAGTTGGCATTTCATTCGATTGCAAAGTCCCATCTCATATATATATATAAATATCAGGAGCGCCAACGCAAATTCGGTTCAACATTTTAGAAACCTTTTTGTGGTGAATGAATGAATAATAATAACAAGCAAGAGCAACTGTATTCATCAAACCATGAAACGAGTTGGAAACATTTGGTTACGGACACGAGGAGTACGGTAGGATTCGACTACCTATGTACAAGTATCTTACAAGAAAAAATCCTTTCCGTATGGGAGGAGCATCTTCAAAACTAGAAGCAAGAGTAAAAGTGCGTACAGGCAAATGCATCACTTATTGGTTTGTTTAATAAAACGAGAGATGTTAGGTTCGGTTCTGTACAATCGAAACCAATTTAGTCCGACCGGGTGAGCCCTTTTGCAATGTAAACCGAAGGCTTCGCCTTCGAAAAAAATCGATTCGTCTTTAAGGACAAAACCGCCAATCAAAGGTTCTCTGGTAGCAATTGCGAAAGATGATAAGTGAGTGGCTTGTTGAAGAGAGGAACGTGATTCTTGAGGGCGTATGTTGCACAATATTGACAAAATCATTTTTCAACATTTCACGATTTACGTACCGGTCACTCGTAATATATCACAATCACTCAATCACAAACAATCCCATAAAATATGCAACGAGAGCATGAAGTTATGAACGATTCATGTCGAAACAACAAACAACGCAGTAATTCAAGCGGTCATTACAGTCATGATGAAGCTCGTATACCTATACCAGTGAGCTTGCAGCCTACCCCAATCAACCTAGATAAGATCGTCCCAGTGGAGAGGGTTTCCATACAGGCCACGAAATGGAATCTGGATAGCAACTCAATCGAATACCTCAAAGGCCTCGCTGCTTCCAAATCATCATCACCAAACTCGCATCAAGACTCGCATCAAGACTCGCATCAAGACTCGATCTCGCACAAGGCCCGAGCCTCGGGCGCTTCCACCAAGGCTGCTGCTGGCTATCCAGACGCCACCCTTCTCCGACAAAAGCAAGTCGATCAATGGAATATTCGCTATGCCGAACTCTTGGAATTCCGAGAGGAACACGGACACTGCCTCGTACCTCTTCGGTATCAACCGAACCGGGCACTCAGCAATTGGGTCAAACGGCAGAGGTATCAATATCGAATAAAATCGGAAGGGAAACATTCCACCTTGAACGATGAGCGGCAGGCTGCTTTGGAGAAACTTGGTTTTGTGTGGGACTCCCATTCTTTGACATGGGAAGAGCGGTTCCAAGAGCTTTCCGAATTCCGGCGAGTCCATGGACATGCGAACGTCCCAAAATCGTACAAAACGAATCAACAGCTAGCCGTTTGGGTCAAGAGCCGTAAGTAACTACTACAACTACCATCGTGTCAGGGCCTGCATATTCGCAATGGGAAACCACACTAACAATTCAATGCATCTTTTCATGTGAACAGAACGGAGGCACTTTCGACTACATTGCAACGGCAAGCCATCGGCAATGACAAAGGAACGAATGGAGCGACTCAAAAGCTTGGGGTTTGTGTTCAATCCGCGATCACTCAATCTGGAACGACAGCAGCAGGAATTAACTTAGAATCATAAAATACAATGAAATAATACAACCAATTTTGCGAACTAATACTTCATTATACACAACGTCTGAATTTTGAAATATGTGCAGACTATACTAGACTTTTTAAAAGAGAGTATTCTACTACCTAAGCTTTTTGTCCGACCTGAATTGGGATCGTCACTGGAGACGGAGCCGCCTTTTTGGGAGCAGTGATGTTCAAGACGCCATCCGATAGATCAGCTGTAATCTTTTCAACATCCACATCGTTTCCAATATTGAATCGCTTCTCAAACTTGGCCTCGTCCACTTCTTCTTCCTTGTCATCATTACTACTGCGGCCATGGTTGCGAAATTTTCGAATCCCACTCAAAAGAAGTGTTTGGTTCTTGTCGGTGAGTTGCATTTGCATGTCTTCTTGTTTTACGCCTGGAACGTCAATGATAATGGAGTATTTTTCTTCTGTCTTGTGAATGTGCACAAAGGTTGGCTGCCAAGTTCTCCTTGCCTTTTTTATGTTACTTGTTCGTGGTGGTTTGTTGAAGGCGCCGTTGGCGTTGTTGAAGAGCACGCTTTGGTCAAAGGCTGTATCAAAGGCAGCTGAGAAAGGGTCAATCTGTAAAATGGGCATATTGTTTGTTATATTGAGAGTTTCGTCTCCTTTGCAGGTGAAATGCTGCTTTGGTTGTTTCGTTTAGTGTTTTTAGAAATTGTGAGCATCAGAATCTGTCCGGGTTTCAAAAAGTATCGATTTCGATAGAAATATGCGACTTTTCGATTCCTTTCTGCTGGTTTCGTCGAAAATCGATGGATTTCGATCCGCGGGCCGTGCGCCAATAAGTCCCTCGGTTCTACCGTAGTGTACAGTGTGTACGTAAATTTCCCTACCAAAAATGATCACAAAAAGGCTAATTCGTGACTGATCTGAATGAATCACGTTTCATTTGAATAAAACAAACACTAACGATAATGCAGTAGATTGTTAGATATTATATGCGGTATAATATTTGACTGAGGTTTTTGAGATTCCAGATTGCTTGGTGAAAGTGAATTGACGCGATGACCAACCAATAACGTAGTGAAAAGAATTGTTCATTCTTTTCAGTAAACCATCTAGATTGATTGTTGTTGCAACTTTGATTGAGTGCAGAATAGTTGATACTATAGTTATGGAACTGAAGTAGATAGTCATCAGTGCATGTAGACCTGATTGGTCGCATGGACAATGCAGAGTTAATGACTCGCATCTGAATGATTATTTTGAAGATAGTCGTCCTATTTTTTATTTCTAACATTTACTGAAAAGAAAACCGTTCGCACAAGTACGACAACTTGTGCATGCGTCAGTGCAAGAACGATATCTTGCACATGAAGTAGTGACAGCCATCACTGCTTCCTCCAAGCATTGTTTCGATGTCAGGGGGTTATCTTCAGTTCTTTGAAGGAGATTGGATTTTGTATTTCCGAAAGTATTGAACGAAGGCTCACTCTGAAGGTTAAAAATCAAGGAGCGAATATTGACTTCTTTAAAATAACACAGACGAGAAAATGGATAACTGGGTGGTGCAGACAGTCAAGCAATTCTTCAATCAGGACAACCCGTTCTAGCACCTTGCTACGAAGGCACACTATGCACAATAATCGTAGATGGGTATTCTATAGTAGGCAAAGAACCTTTGTTGCTCAAGTGACTAATAATGAAAACGATAATGATGATCAGACAACTATTATAGTCTTGGCAGTACTGGTACCTGTGAAAACGTGGCAGAGTAAGGGCCAGAATTCCTTCTTTCTCGCCTCCTCATTAGAAAGAAACCACTCATCTATAGTATCTGAGTGATTGATCCCACTAGCAAGTGTATTCCATTAGCTATTCTTTTGCTTCGGAATGTTTCATCTATCCCGATGCATATTCAAAGTGCCATAAATCAACCTCTGGCCCTGAATAGTAGAAGCTTATTGATGATTCTGCCATACGTGATGTCATTCTTTGGATCAGAGCCGAACATCATTATTTAACGCGTTTTTCCAAAAAGCATAACGAATCGACTAAAACGAGCGTAAGTACCAGATTTGTTGTGTAGAACCCTACCGAGTGACTTATTGACGCACGGTCCCGCGGACGTCGCAACGAAAAGGTACAATTGTAGTCCCTATATATTCTAGAAACGCCTTGCCAAAAAAATAGAAAATTCGCTCAAGCTTAGGCCGTTTCACCGAGACATTCCATCAGTCCATTTGCGTTGTGCTGTAGTCTACAGTAGCTACAATCCATTACTACGGCTTTGTAGGCACAACTGCAACCTTGCTGGCGCTTTGGCGCTCCTTTGTCTCGTCGCCATTCCGGGCGCTAATTTTTTCATTCCATTAGGGGGGAGGGCAGAAGAGGAGGGGGGAAGGGTTGTTTAGAGGCATTGTCGATAACAAGACAAGTGCCCACTATTGAATGCAATAGATTTGAAAACACTTTCCAATGTGTGAATAATTGGTTGGACCTCTTCTTGATAATTGATGCTGTGTTTCCCATCACTGTAGCAAATGTACTGAACGTCAAAATAGGAAAGTGACTTCCAACAACAATTTCCCCACATATACTCTTATAAATCAGACCTCTTCTTTGATATAAATGTCTTTGAACTATGTGTTTAGTATTGAAGTAGTGCTCAAAGCCATGTTCTACATAAGTGGATGGCGTCGAGTGGTAGTGTCGACACTCCCGAGTTGGAGGGAATCACCTACACCATTCTTGTCAAGGGATAATTATGTAGAACTATTGAAGTAGTGCTCAAAGCCATGTTCTACATAAGTTATGGGTGCTACGGAATGCTCGATAGATGCAGTCGGAGATAGGCATGCGCGTCCCTCCGCGCAGGGATTAACATTTAGTTCTTTGGTGGCCAGTATTTAGAGGTTTTAGGCACCATTTTGGAGAAGTCGGTGTAGTCAATTTCACGTACATTTTGTACTGGCCTGGCTCTACAAATGTATTGATTTGTATTGTCTGACCAGGAAACCCTACAGTAGGAGGGTAGAGTCTCAGGTTCACAGCATAGAAATAGCACAGCACCACAGGCATTACAAACTATTGTCGCTCGACAAGTGTAACTTGCTCGCTCCGTTGCGAGGAGGGAAGTGTCTAGTACGGGGAAACAAATTAGAAAATACAGATAGTTCTGTAGTACCTCCTTGGTCACTCGTCTGCAGCTTTCTTCTGAAATAGAAACCTGAAAAAAGTCTCAAAACACGAGCACCACAGAATGCCGCCTCATCAGGAGGCAGGGGGTGCAAAAAAAGGGTATTATTTATCTGTCACTTCCGTTCTTTGACTAATATAGTACCAACCAAATGCTGGCTTGCTTTCTATCTATTGATCTTAAACATACAGACCTCAATAGTACATTACAGTTCGAATGTGTGGGCAATTTCATACTGTTGGGACCATGTCGACCCCAATTAGGTTGAATCCTTCAGCTGCACGACAGCCAGGTAGCAAAGCAACACCCAGAGGCAACACCTAGAGCCTCAAACTGACCTTCCCTTCATGTCCTTTGTCACCATATGAAAATCAACCATGTGAAAATCAACCAATGGCGTGGCCACGTCCAGTTCTCCATAGACAAGGGTGCCTGCAATCATTTGATATTTGCCAACTGATTGGAAAGACCACATGGTCAGAACTTGGATGGCCAGCGACGACCTTTGAGACAGACCTGTGAGATGGACGTCTCACTCACGGCCATTTTGGTTGTACTTCGGTTGTACTTTGTACTTCGAACGCTGAGAAATATCAGAGAAATATCCTGCTACCGGTACGGACAAGCCAGCAGAAGACTCAAAGCAAACCGTCCATCATATGTGACACTGAAGTTAGACTTGCAAGCTGCTGATTGGATGAGCTAGCTAGCTATTGGACGAGCTAGCTATCAGGTCCTTGCCTGATGATGCAGACAATTTTCTTGAAATGAGGCTAGAGCCTCATGCACAATTCAGAAACAGTGTTACGGCATGTATTGATATTGATAATAACATCTTCAGGAACTATCCTTCTAGCTACCCTGGGTGGGAATTTTACCGTTATGGGTAAACTGCCGCCCTCTGGGTGAGGCCAAATTGCTAAGCTCCTCCAAGTCGGGCTGGTCCATTTAGGTGAGCCAGCCTGGGATTGAGTGCCAATACTTCCAAAATGATGGAATTTGTACGGCTGGGTTCCGCAACTTTTGCGGAATTTGCAAGGTGGAAGTCTAGGTAAGACCTTCCTCCAGAACCACGCCCGCACGGCCTATGTAACATTTTAGCTACAGAGCTCGAGGTCACTCACTTGGAAATTCGATTGTTGCCCAGTTGTCTTTTTCATTCTTTCCTGAAAATTTGTTTGGATCGTGTGGAGGCGGCCAGGAGACTAAAGACCAAAGGACTTAGTGACACTTATCTCCGGGAGTATCAACGATTTGTCATTTGGGTAATAAAGAATAACCGTATGCCGGACCCAATGCAGCGACCCTTTCGTTTTACCACAAGAGACAATGTGGATAAATATTACATCCACGACTTTACAAAGAGAGAATTTGGCACCCAAAATAGTCGCTCTCGGGTCCATCAAGCGATACAAAGGTTTTGGGATTCAGTAGAGTCTTCTTTTTTTAAAGATTTTGACACCCTATCACCTTTGATGGATGGCGAAGCTAAAAAATTCAGAGTAAAAGACAGTGAAGCAGTTGAAGCAAGTGTAATAGAGCAGCAGCGATATTAAGATTCAATCAAAGAAGACAAGTTTGGAGGAACAGATCCTTTCAAAGGCCTGAAGGCCGACCTTCTTACTACATCGGAAAAGAAAGTCAGGTCCTATTGGTTGGCTTGCTCGTGTCACATTAGGACATGGCTCCGTCTGCTTATGTGACGTGGCCACGTGATTTTTTCGCAGCCATTCGACTGGAACCTTTTCATATTTATTTTTGCCTCTGTGCTAATGTCACCTTCGCCATGCGAAAAAATCACCTACTACCTGTCATTTTGGGACACGGTC